CTTTCTGATTGGTGTTTAGGGTTTCTTAGAATATATAGAACCAAGTCAAGTTCTTAAATACATCTTTATGAGCAATGAGGTACTCAGAGTATTTGAATTCCCACCTAGGTCCTTAATGTATTGTTCAATTGTTCAGTCTCTAGATTAGAGGAGGATGAATGAATGGGCTCTTCTGAAACTTCCATCACTCTGTGAGGAAATTAGTTTTATATGAGCACATCAATGATTTAGATTGGAAAAATAGGAAATATATACAGGTTTTGATATTTAGAATATTGAAATATTACCTTACTGAAGGAGAAAACTATGCTAGTTTGCTAAGTTTCTGAATTTATAGCTTACTGAGGTATTATGAAACTGAAAATAGTACAGCTGAGGATAACATAGTCAGAATGTGATCATTTTATTCAAATTAACCTTAGTAAAGTAATTGTTTAGAATCAGAGTGCTGAGAGAGTTTCACTGTTAACCAAGAGGTTGCTATTCATCATAGAACATCAGTAGGTATTTATTGGGTTAGCACATGGGGACTTCTAACCTGAATCCTTCCTCATACACATGAAGTAATTGAGACCCAGGGAGGGTAATGAACTTGCCTCAAGTCACCTAGCTAATGAGGTGAAAGAGAGAAGCAGAGCCAGGGCTAATAACGTTTTGCAAACTGAAGCACATGGCACACAGTTCTAGGAATATGTTGGTAAGGGATCAAATAGGAAATGTTATTATTTAATTAAAGCAGACTCATTCTGATAAAATATTAGTAGGATAGCATTTTTCAAGATGCATATTTTAGTAATAAAGTTTTAAAACCACAAATATATCAGGCTTGAGAGCCTAAAAACATATATTGCAAATGGTTTCCTTACCTTAAGAATCTAGCTATTTATTTGTGGGTTTTAGAAATATCTTAATCTGATTTAATAGCAATTGTGCCACCAAAGTATTGAGATTTTTAAAATTTGTATGCTGCAGTTTAAGATAATCTGAAAGTGTGTATGCTATTTCTATGTCCTGGTGAATTATAAGATACTTGAGATAGCTATGAAGCCAGTGTTCAAGTACCTTAAGGTTAATCAAAGCAAAACTCTGAAAGCTAATGAATGAAAAACATAAAGTGTTCTTGTTCCTGGAGATGATTAAGCACATGAGATTTTACTATACACACTCTGTAATGGAAGGTGACTTAAAAACAACCAATTTAACCATCACAATTTCCTTTTTCCACTTCTGTAGAAAATGATAATTACACATATTAAAGGGAAAGATAAAAACAGTGTGTGTGATGATGGAAACATTAAACATCTAAATATTAAGGGAGAAATATACATATTTGACAATTATATTAAAATTGTTAACCTATATACTCATTACAATACAGAATCCCTCAAACCCTTACCAATTTAAATAGAGGTAAAGGTCATTAACAGAGGCAGTATATTATTTCAACTTGCACCTTAGATGAATTTATCAGGGCGATGATGGTTATGTAAATAGTTTAACAGCTTTGTTGACCTTAATATTCCTAGAAAATAACTTTTGATAGAAGGCTACAGTGTCTCTGTGGTATTTTAACAGCAAGATTGGAATATTTTCTAAATGCACAAGATTATTAGTAGGCTACTTATTCTTGGTAATAATAGGAATGAGTATTGCTGATATAATAAAAAGAAATGAAGAGGATATAGGAAGTAGGATAAGGAAAGAAAATCAGTCTTCAAAAGTCTACAATCATATGTTAAATCTAGGGGGGGAAAAAAACAACTTTCTCCATGAGCAAAGTTGATTCTTTGTGGATTTAACCACTGAAGTAATTCTCTCTTCAGTTATAAGTCAGTGCAGCCAATCACCTCACCAGCATCCAAGAAGCCTGGCTTGATGACAAAAGAGCTCTGAAGAAGGGGCTTAGAAACAGATGTGTGGGACTCTATGTCTAACAGCAATTCGTCCATGATATTTTGCAACATTAGCAACTGTTCCCTGGTTCACCTTCAATAATTAAGTGAAAAAAATATTCTCTCCTTATGGTGTCAGGTAAGGTGCTATGTTTTTGTTTTATAACAAAGTTATAGTTTATCTCTCTACATTGTCAGTGTCTCCCATGGGAATATAAGAGTCAAAGGTGAGGGACTATTTTTATCTTATTACTTTATCCCTAGTGCATAGTTAGCACAGTGCCTGTCGATGAATAGGTAGATAGATAGATGATAATGATAGATAGATAGATAGATAGATAGATAGATAGATAGATAGACAGATAGATAGATATAGATATGGATATAGATAGAAATATATATTACAATTTTTAAAAATTGATGGATGGATATTGGGTGGGCATCCTTATCCTTGTGTTTTTAGGATATTTATGGGTTTTCAACTCTGTATTTTTGGCATTCATATGGATAATAGTACATTACCCATTTCCATCTCCTGGGGGCCTGTATCTGGTTTTCAGTCCCTCTTATTTTATATCAAATAGCTTCCTCAGTAAGCAACATTATCTGCATTTACTAAGAGCCTAGATACTTTACAGAAATTATAAGGTCACTGACTGATTCTTTAGATATTTCTTATATTGACACATGCCTGAAATTGAACTGGAGCTCTGCAGCACTCTGTGGAAGTTGGCTTTTGCAGATGTGGGTCTCTCAGGAGAACACGGAGAGTAGACTCAGTGAAGAAGCTGTGTTACTTCTATCCTCAGACTTTTCCTGCTAGAACTTTCTTCTTTCCTATTTCTTACATCCCCATAAACCCAACATTTAATCTAAAGTAGTATATAGCAATTAAAATTTATATTTACACTCTAAAGATTTACAATTAACTCCAAATATCCTCCTGTTCTTTGGACTAGGGATCATGAAAATGAGACTAGACATTCTATAGAGTCTTTAAATATTTAATAACCTCAGCCTTATCTTTCATAACATCAATTATTCATCATTATATAAAACTGATTACTTAGAGATTTTTAACAATTTGAACACTTGGCCCATTATTTTTAACTTATCTTAGTATATATACTAGTGGCCTGGTTTACAAATTCATGCACATTGAAAGGAAATTAATTAGAAGACATATTTTAATACTAGAGGCTCAGCACATGAAATTGTGTGGCCCTGCCCACCCACCCACCTGTCTGCTACCCCACCGCCCCGCCTTGACACCCTAACCTCTCCACCCAGAGCTTGAGAATGCCTGGCTCCAGCCCCCACACCTCCAGCCTTTTCTGGTGGCTTCAAGCCCCGCCGTCGGTCCTGCGAGTCGCCTCAGCTGGTCCCGCCTGCTCCGGGTACCTCCCCACTTCACCCCATCTCCAGAGCAATGCAGCGACTCCACCCCATCATGGCACAGGAGAAGAGCTTGGAAGCCTCGTGCCTGCTGCAGAGTTTCGAGCGCCGCTTCCTGTCGGCATGCGCACTGCACTCCTTCTCCTGGAAGGTGGGTGGCGGGGTGCTCTGAGTGCGAGCGGTGGGTGGCGAAGGACTGGTGAGGGGGCGCTACAGGCTCTCACCCCTGCCCTTCCTGCCACGGGGTGGTCCTGCCTCCTCCAGGTACCTCCCTGCTTCCGCCCCATCTCCGTAGCAATGCAGCAGCTCTGCCCTGCAGTGCACGCAGCCTCCTGCTGATCGGTCATTATGGCGTGAGGGCGTCACAACCATTAGCATATTAGCTCTTTATTATATAGGATTGTTATTTGCCCTTTCTCTATAATAGAAGTGTCAACCAAATTCATGATCGACAATAACAGATTGAAACACACGCTTGTGATTGGCACCAGTGAGAGCTTTATATAGATAGATAAACTTGCTTAATTAGACCTGCTTTCTGATGT